TGGCCCGACGCACTTCCCTCGGTGCTCCTGGGCCTCCGAACCTCATTCAAGGAGGACCTCCAAGCATCTCCGGCCGAGATGCTCTACGGCACGATCCTCAGGGTGCCCGGTGATTTTTTCACCGCCCAGAGCCACCCGAACGTCAACCCGCCGTCCTTCGTCCAAGGCCTTCGACGCCTCACGCAGGCCATCAAGCCTGTCCAGGCATCGAGGCACCTACCTCCACAGAAGCCGTTCATCTTCAGCGATCTACAGAGATGCTCTCACGTCTTTCGCCGCATCGACGCTATCCGGAGACCGCTGGACCCTCCATACTCAGGGCCACACAAGGTAATCCGGCGCATCGACGAGCGAAACTACACTATCGAGGTCAACGGCCAGCCCCGTACTGTCTCTACAGACACATTAAAGCCAGCCTACCTCGAAGCAGCCGACCTGCCTATCACCAGCAATGACGTCGCTGCTCCTCAGCTTTCGCAACCACCCACGTCGGTTACAAACAGCCCCCAGACACAGGACCATTCAACGCGGCCTTTGGCCGACGCATCGACTTCCCAGCCCACACCTGGACAAACCACGATCTTGCCCAAGGTCAAGAAGGCTATATCGTTCTGTCTGCACCCTGCAGACAATACTGCAGGGGAAGTACCCGTGGCGCCATCCACCGGCCAAAGCTCAAATCAAGCTTCTCGGCGTAAGCAACAGCTCATCCCGCACACGGACTAGCTGCGCGCGCCACCTCCTCTCTCTCGACTCAAGACAGCGCCTACCGTAAGGTAGCGAACGCTGCGACACGACGCTCGACCAGCAACGACGACGGCACGCGCCTCGTCCACGAGCAGCGAACAGTTTAACAAAGTGCAGTCTCTCGTTTTGTAATGAATAAAGTTAAATTACTCTTAACCCGTTCGCTCATTCATTCCATGACCTGCTTCGCACCTCCGATATCCTTGAGCATTGGGAAAAGCTCAAACGCGACATCATAATCCCAAAAGTATACCCCTCTAAGATATAAGATTATATTTAAGGTGTTCGAGCGAGGGATGCGTGGGCTAAAGGTAAAGGTAGAGGAAGCTCTCCATCCACTGCTAGCTTGGTCAAAGAAAGAGTAAAACCGTTGTAGGCATGCGCGAGAACTCTTAGTTGTTAGAAACACTGAACCCAAACGACCCAAGGCACTAACTGGTTGCTTTAATTAATTATAATTAATAAAGCAATACCGCAAGCGCCTATCCCCACACGACCCTAGGCACTTACTGGTTGTTTTAATTATTTATTATGGATAAAATAATAACGCAAGCACCTATCCCCACACAACCAGCGGAACTTACTGGTTTCTTCAGTTATTTATAATTAATAAAATAATACCGCAAGCTCCTATTTTCACTCGACGCAAAGCACTTACTGGTTGCGTAAATTATTTATGATTAATAAAATTATACCACAAGCGCCAATTCCCACACGACCCAAGGCATTTACTCGTTGCTTTATTTATTTATGATTAATAAAATATCACCGCAAAAGCCTATCACCACGCGACCTTAGGCACTTACTGTTTGCTTTAATTATTTATTATGAATTAAATAATAACGCAAGCACCTATACCACACAACCAGGGGAACTTACTGGTTGCTTTAATTATTTATGATTAATAAAATAATAACGCAAGCACCTATCCCCACACAACCAGGGGAACTTACTGGTTGCTTTAATTATTTATGATTAATAAAATAATAACGCAAGCACCTATCACCACACAACCAGGGGAACTTACTGGTTGCTTTAATTTTTTATGATGAATAAAATAATACCGCAAGCGCCTATCTCCACACGACCAGGGGAACTTACTGGTTGCTTTAATTATTTTTAATTAATAAAATAATACCGCAAGCACCTATCCCAACTCGACCCAAGGCACTTACTGGTTGCTATAATTATTTATTATGAATAAAATAATAACGCAAACACCTACCCCCACACAACCAGGAGAAATTTCTGGTTGCTTTAATTATTTATAATTAATAAAATAATACCGCAAGCGCCTTACCCCACACGATCAAAGGCACTTACAGGTTGCTTTAATTAATTATGATTGATAAAGCAATACCGCAAGCGCCTATCCCCACACGATTCAAAGCATTCACTGGTTGCTTTTATTATTTATGATTAATGAATCAATACCGCAAGCGCCTATCCCCACACAATTTAAGGCATTAACTGGTTGCTTCAATTATTTTTAATTAAAACATAATACTGCAAGCACCTATCCCTACACGACCCAAGGCACTTACTGGTTGCTTTAATTATTTATTGTGAATAAAATAATAACGCAAGCACCAATCTCATACAACCAGGGGAACTTACTGGTTGCTTTAATTATTTATAATTAATACAATAATACCGCAAGCGCCTATCCCCACACGACCCAAGGCACTTACTGGTTGCTTTAATTATTTATGATTAAAAAATGAATAAAATAATAACGCAAGCACCTACCCCCACACAACCAGGAGTAATTTCTGGTTGCTTCTAGTATTTATAATTAATAAAATAATACCGCAAGCGCCTATCCCTACACAACCCAAGGCACTTACATGTTGCTTTAATTATTTATAATTAATTAAGTAATACCACGAGCACTTATTTCTACACGACCCAAGGCACTTTCTGTTTGCTTCAATTATTTACAATTAATAAAATGATACCGCAAGCACCTATCCCATACAACCAGGGGAACTTACTGGTTGCTTTTATTATTTATAATTAATACAATAATACCGGAAGCGCCTATCCCCACACGAGCCAAGGCACTCACTGGTTTCTTTAATTAATTATGATTATAAAGCATTACCGCAAGCGCCTATTCCCACATGACCCAANAAATAATACCGCAAGCACCTATTCTCACTCGACGCAAGGCACTTACTGGTTGCTTAAATTATTTGTGATTAATAAAATGATACCGCAAGCGCCTATTCCCGCACGACCTAAGGCACTTACTGGTTGCTTTAATTATCTATTATGAATAAAATAATAACGCAAGCACCTATCCCATACAACCAGGGGAACTTACTGGTTGCTTTGAATATTTTTAATTAATACAATAATACGGCAAGCGCCTATACCCACACGAGCCAAGGCACTCACTGGTTCCTTCAATTAATTATTTTTATAAAGCATTACCGCAAGCGCCTATTCCCACATGACCCAAGGCACTTACAAGTAGCTTTGATTATTTATTATTAATAAAATAATAACGTAAGCACCTATTTCCACACAACCAGGGGAATTTTCTGGTTGCTTTAATCATTTATAAGTAATAAAATATCACCGCAAAAGCCTATCACCACGCGACCTAAGGCACTTACTCGTTGCTTTAATTATTCATGATTAATAAAATAATACCGCAAGCGCCTATTTCCACACATTCAGGGGAACTTACTGGTTGCTTTAATTAATTATAATTAATTAAATAATACTGCAAGCGCCTATCCCCACATAACCCAAGGCACTTACTAGTTGCTTCAATTATTTGTAATTAATAAAGCAACACCGCAAGCGCCTATTCCCACATGACCCAAGGCACTTACTCGTTACTTCAATTATTTATGATTAATAAAATAATATCGCAAGCGCTTATCCTCACACGACCTAAAGTTTTTACTGGTTGCTTCAATTATTTATAATTAATAAAATAATACCGCAAGCGCCCATTCTGACACGACCCGAGGCATTTACTGGTTGCTTCAATTATTTATAATTAATAAAATAATACCGCAAGCACCTATTCTCACTCGACGCAAGGCACTTACTGGTTGCTTAAATTATTTGTGATTAATAAAATGATACCGCAAGCGCCTATTCCCGCACGATTCAAGGCACTTACAAGTAGCTTTGATTATTTATTATTAATAAAATAATAACGCAAGCACCTATTTCCACACAACCAGGGGAATTTTCTGGTTGCTTTAATCATTTATAAGTAATAAAATATCACCGCAAAAGCCTATCACCACGCGACCTAAGGCACTTACTCGTTGCTTTAATTATTCATGATTAATAAAATAATACCGCAAGCGCCTATTCTGACATGACCCGAGGCATTTACTGGTTGCTTCAATTATTTATAATTAATAAAATAATACCGCAAGCGCCTATTCTGACATGACCCGAGGCATTTACTGGTTGCTTCAATTATTTATAATTAATAAAATAATACCGCAAGCGCCTATTCTGACATGACCCGAGGCATTTACTGGTTGCTTCAATTATTTATAATTAATAAAATAATACCGCAAGCGCCTATTCTGACATGACCCGAGGCATTTACTGGTTGCTTCAATTATTTATAATTAATAAAATAATACCGCAAGCGCCTATTCTGACATGACCCGAGGCATTTACTGGTTGCTTCAATTATTTATAATTAATAAAATAATACCGCAAGCGCCTATTCTGACATGACCCGAGGCATTTACTGGTTGCTTCAATTATTTATAATTAATAAAATAATACCGCAAGCGCCTATTCTGACATGACCCGAGGCATTTACTGGTTGCTTCAATTATTTATAATTAATAAAATAATACCGCAAGCGCCTATTCTGACATGACCCGAGGCATTTACTGGTTGCTTCAATTATTTATAATTAATAAAATAATACCGCAAGCGCCTATTCTGACATGACCCGAGGCATTTACTGGTTGCTTCAATTATTTATAATTAATAAAATAATACCGCAAGCGCCTATTCTGACATGACCCGAGGCATTTACTGGTTGCTTCAATTATTTATAATTAATAAAATAATACCGCAAGCGCCTATTCTGACATGACCCGAGGCATTTACTGGTTGCTTCAATTATTTATAATTAATAAAATAATACCGCAAGCGCCTATTCTGACATGACCCGAGGCATTTACTGGTTGCTTCAATTATTTATAATTAATAAAATAATACCGCAAGCGCCTATTCTGACATGACCCGAGGCATTTACTGGTTGCTTCAATTATTTATAATTAATAAAATAATACCGCAAGCGCCTATTCTCACTCGACGCAAGGCACATACTGGTTGCTTAAATTATTTATGATTAATAAAATGATACCGCAAGCGCCTATTCCCACACGATTCAAGGCACTTACAAGTAGCTTTGATTATTTATTATTAATAAAATAATAACGCAAGCACCTATTCCCACACAACAAGAGGAACTTACTGGTTGCTTCAATTATTCATAATTAATAAAATAATACCGCATGCGCCTATTTCCACACGACCAAAGGCACTTACAGGTTGCTTTAATTATTTATGATTAATAAAATAAAACTCCATGCGCCTATCCCCATACTACCGAAGGCACGTACTGATTGCTTTAATTATTTATGATTAATGAATAATACCGCAAGCGTCTATCCCCACACGACCTAAAGCATTCACTGGTTGCTTTTATTATTTATGATTAATGAATTAATACTGCAAGCGCCTATCCTTACACGATGAAAGGCATTAACTGGTTGCTTATATTATTTATTATTGAAACATAATACTGCAAGCACCTATCTTCACACGACCCACGGCACTTACTGGTTGCTTTAATAATTTATTGTGAATAAAATAATAACGCAAGCACTAATCTCGACACAACCAGGAAAAGTTTCTGGTTGCTTTAATTATTTATAAATAATAAAGTAATTCCGCAAGCGCTTAACCCCACACGACCCAAG